CTCATCCAGCTACCTGTGCGTGACCTGGGAAGGCAGCAGAGGGCTCAAGTGGTGGGGCCCCTTCATGCACATGGGAGACCCAGAGGAAGCTCCTGGCTGATTGCATTCAGTGATGTGTTGCGGGCAGGGCTGGTCATGGCACTGAGTACTTTGGCAGGTGACGACTCACTAGTGGGGCTGCTCAAGTCAGTTATGTGGCTAAGGAAGTTAACCATCATGCAGCACATTATTTTGCATTGACTAGACGTACTCCAGGGGGGCAGGCGTTGGGTGGTTAAGATGCTGTTTTGGGACCTGAGCCTCACATCGCAGTGTGTGTTTCAAGTCCGAGCTGCACTCTAATTCCAGCTTCTTGCTCCTGTGCAGCCTGGGAAGCGGCAGCTGAGGCACCTGGGGCCTCAGCCGGGAGGCCTGGATCTGTGTCCCTGGCTCCTGGCCCAGTCCTGGCTACAGTCAGCATGTAGGGAAGGAACCAGCAGATCCCTCTCCCTGCCTTTCAAATAGAAGAAAAACAAAGCAAAACACCACCTCAGGTGAATTATATCCCTCCAAAAACACAGAAATAAGTTTCTTTAAAGTTTTCCTATTATATAAATAACTTTTTTTCATTTTTTATTATATTTTTGACAATCTTTATATATAGTTAATTAGGGTAAAAAAGTTCAAGTGCTATAGGAAAGTGGGTAAGACTATTATTTCCATATTGTTTCCTTCATAAACAACTATCTTTTATGTTAAGTTTACAGCTCAGTGGTTTGGAGTGTGAAGTACATTCACAGTACAAAGTTCATTTAAAAAAAAATTTAATTCAAAGTTAAGGAAGGGGAAAAGAGGTGGCTGTAATAGCCAGGGATCTGTGCTGGGCTGAAGCCAGGAGCCAGGAGCCCAAGGGCTTTGGTCATCTTCCTTGCTTACTCAGGTGCACGAGCAGGGAGCTGGATCAGAAGTTGAGCAGCCAGCACCCAGAGGATATGCCCGCCTGACAGGCAGTGACTTAACCCACTACTGTCACAGTGCTGGCCCCACGAACCTCATCTTGAAAAACCATGATTTTGTATCCAGTTCAGTAGTAGGTCTCCATCTCACCATGTTACCAGCCCCTGGCACCCACCTATTTTCTGTGAACTTTGCTACTCTCAACCACTCATACGATCACACAGGCTTTGTGATCGTGAGCTGGCTTATCACTCTGGTGTCGGCTCCTCTAGATCCACACACGTGGAAGAGCATGTGATATGACCTGCCCTTTGTGACAGCTGACCCCACTGCTTGTGGAGAGCACGTTGACCCATCCTTCCATGCAGGGGCGTCTGCTGAGTTCCCACTACCTAGCGAGTAAGGTCACCAGCAACACAAGTGGGCAGATGCTCCTAAGACCCTGCATTCCTTAGGATAAAGACCCAGGAGTGGGACTGCTGGGTCAGGTAGCTACTTCTAATTCTAGTACACAATCCCAACAACAGTACACAAGGGATCATAATTACACACACACACATTTCCACTTAATTTTTTTTCCTGGAGAATGCTGCTTCTTCAGCCACTATAGACTAGTTACTCCTTGGGCTCAGGAGGCACAGGCATCGAAGATGGACACTCACTTTTGGGATGACTCCACAGCTGCGGCCTCCACCATGTTCTCAGTGACCAACTTTATGGCTCTGTCCTTGGCCAGGCACTGGCAGTTAGTGATTGGGTTGCCCGTGGCCATGGCCTTTTGTGCTGTGCCATTGTTCTTTCTTTTCTTCGTTGTCTTATTCAGCACCATTGATGGGAAGATCCATTTTTTTTTCACTGCAAATGTTACCAAGGGGAATGAATTCCATATACTGGTCTCTAATTCATTGCAGCCTTTCTCCCCCTATTTTCAGGTACCCCAATGTGGTAAGCAGGATCCCTTCAAATCAGTTCTTTGGCCTTGCATGTCAGTTTAAGTCCTGGTTTTCCATTTCTAGTCCAACTGTTACTGTGCCTGAGAAGGCAGCGGAGGATGGCCCAAGTGTTTGGGTCCCTGAACCCACATGGGAGATGTGGTTTTGGTCTGACCCGCTCCAGCCATTGCGGTCATTTAGGGACTAAACCAGTGGATGGAAGCGCTTTCAATCTGCATCAATCTTTTCAGTACATGAGAAGCATTCATTTATTTGAAAGGCAGGTCGACAGGAAGGAGAGCCCTCTACCTAGTGTTGGCATCTCAGAGGGCACAGGATCACAACGTGGATCCACTTCCAACCTAGCTAGCTGGTAATGGTCTGGGAAAGCAAGAGAGGACAGCTTAAAGCCTTGGGCCCCTGGACCCACATGGGAGAGCGAGGCTCCTGGCTGCAGATCAGCCCAGCTCCGGCTGATAGAGCCACTGGAGGAGTGAATCAATAGATAGAAGCTTTGTCTCCGCTCTGTAACTGCCTTTTAATAAAAATGAGAGCGCGCTTCCAATTGCTGGCTTATTCTCCAAATGCCCACAGCTGCCAGAGATGGGCCAGGAACCTGGAACTCCATCTAATCTCGTCTCCCACATGGATGGCAGGGACTCAAGCCCCTGCGCTGTCCTCTGCTGTCCCCCAGGATATACAACAGCAGAAAGATGGAGAAAATGTGGAAAAGGAGTGGCCAAGATCATGGCCAGCACTCTGAAACGGAATGCAGGCATCCCAAGTAGTGGCTGACCTTGCTGAGACAAAATGCTCACACCAACACCCACACTGTTCATGTACGCACTGCTCTACACTTGGGCTCATTCCCTCTTTCCTTCATGGTCCAACAACCCTTTTTTAAGAAAAAGACCTTTTGGCCCCAGCGGCGTGGCCTAGCACTAAAGTCCTCGCCTTGAACGCACCGGGATCCCATATGGGCACCGGTTCTAATCCTGGCAGCTCCACTTCCCATCCAGCTTCCTGCTTGTGGCCTGGGAAAGCAGTCGAGGACAGCCCAAAGCCTTGGGACCCTGCATCTGCATGGGAGACCCGAAAGAGGTTCCTGGTTCCCGGCTTCGGATCGGCACAGTACCAGCTGTTGTGCTCACTTGGGGAGTGAATCATCAGATGGAAAATCTTCCTCTCTGTGTCTCCTCCTCTCTGTATATCTGACTTTCCAAAAATAAAAATAAATCTTAAAAAAAAAAAAGAAAAGACCTTTTATTTTAGATTTCAACCATGTTACAAAGCTTAACCATAGAGATCTCCCTCCACTCACCCAGTACCCATTGTTAGGCTCAAGGATGGCCAATGCATGGCTTCTACAACCTCCCTGCAGGCCAGAGATGTGAGGCTCAGGTGATGCAGTCTGCAGGGGATAAGAGTGCTGGGACTCAGGGCAGTGACAGCAGTGGGGGCTGGGGTGGTGACCACACCTTAGGACCTCGAGCAACCCAACTTCCCAACCATTTGGGTACCCACATTACACCAGGTACCTGTCAACAACCACCTGCTCTCATCTAGGACACCAGTAGTCACAGTCTTTGCCACACAGGCCAAGATGACAATATAGGAAGTGTTACTCCCGAGGCAAGAGGGAGAAGCAATGGCCCAACACTGGGGGGTGGGGGCAGGGATTAATGTGGGCCGAGAAGGGCAAGGAGGCTGACAGGGCAGCTGAAATGCGGTATGTACGCATGGGGTTGGGTGGGGATCAAGCTGGCAGCTGCTTGTGCACAGAAAAGTGGAGGCTCTACTGTGGACAGAGGGGCAGTGTCCCAGTGAGGGTCACTGTGAAACAGGGGCTGGGGCAGTGTGCTATGTAAGGTGGGGGGTTACCTAGGTAGCAGCCATAGCTGTAGGAAGGTCTGAGGCGACTCATCACATGGCAAGAGTGCAGGATTTCCAGTGTGCACCTGCTGGGCCTGCAAGGACTGTGAAGCCAGCATTCAAGTCAGAATCACAGGGAGGAAGCAATGTGGGACCAGAGGACACGAGGAAAGATAGCCTGGGCAGAAACAGCTGGAGGGCCTCCCCTCTGGAACACCCGGTGTTGTCCACCCTTACAATGGGCCCAGGGTGCGCAGGCACCATCTCCTGCAGCTAGGCAGAGGGAAGGCGTGGGGAGGGGAGCGGAGGCAACTCGAAAGGCTTCCTGTGGGAAGTGAGCAGTCCTCCAGGCTTGGAATTCCCCGTTCCCCAGTTGAGGGGAGGGGTTACCCTGGCTCTGACGCATCTCTGGTTTGTTCCTCCTCTGGGTCTACAACAAAGACTGGCCAATGGTGTCTAAAGCACACTGGCTCCTGCCAGTGTGGCTACTGGAGGCCACACAGCTGCTGGCTTCCCCCGTAAAGAGGATTGGGTGGCAGTTGGTCACCACCAATGCAGGGAAGGGGCACAAGTGACTCGACAGTTCCTGTGGGGACCTCACGTTCCTGAGGCCACCTGCTGGCCCCAGGCACAGGCTGCCCCTGCCAGCAGCCTGGCCTCCTCTGAGACTCATCCTTCCTGCTGGAAGAGGAGAGTTGCCGAGAGCAAGAAAGGAAACCACTCTTCCCCAGACTCTGCCCCCTGAGGAGCCTGGGGCCCACGGGTGCTGCCTGGGGCTGCTGCGGGGTACAGATAACAGCAGAGGAAGGGTGGGGTGGCGGGATCCTCCTGGGAGTGGCTCTCCTGTAAACAATATGCAGCGGCCACCGGGCAGGAGGTGATTCATCTCTGCTGCGTGCAGATCCTGCTGGCCCAGCTTCCCGAGTACTGGGCCGCAGCAGCCCTGCTCAGCCAGGCGCCGGCCCTCTGTCCTCTGTGGGGGATCTTGCTGCAGCCAAATTCTGATGCCACGGGCAGTCTGGGGGTTCTGGGCTGCACCTCACCTGAGAATGTGTGTGCTCGGGGCAGAGCAGTGTCCCCTCCCTGAGCTCTCACCTGCCAGACCAGAGAATAATCAGGTGACTTCTTAGCAGTGCCACAGGCGCCTGTTGCCTGACTGTCACTCTTGAGGCAGTCACCCCCAAGGAGGAGAGGAATGGGCACTTGAGCTCCTGCACAGGCCAGGCTGCAGGAGAGGCAGGGCCATCCGGGATGGCAGGATGTGAATACAGTATTTTAATAGGGCTATGTGGACACACACTGGCCACAGGGCCCCTCCTGGGTTGCTATGTTCTCCGATGGCTGAGGCCTTGCGCCAGCTCCTTGAGCAGCTTCAGTCCTGAAATATACATGCTGTGCCTTCCAGGGGCAGGGGTGTGATCCTCTCCAGTCCCAGGCCTGGGCAGCCCTGGTCACTGCTTCGCCTTCTTCACAATGGTGCCCACAGCAGAGATGACAGTGGTCTTGGAGCCGCTGGCACTGGTGGTAACTGTGACAACAGCTGGCAGGGTGGCTGTGGTGGTGAGGATCGTGGGCTGAGCTATCGTGGTCACCGGGATAGCGGAGTCCCATTTGCTCTTTCTCTTCTGGGCATCTGCAGAGAAGGCAAGGGGGGTCAAGGTCAAGTGGGCCACTCTCTTTCTCTGCAGGTTGGCAGCAGGGTGGGGGAAAAGTAATGGGAGTGAGGTAACCCTGGCCGGAAGACCTGAGGGGCACTGCAAATGCAGCTGCCCAGGTCTGTTATGCCTGCCTCCCCAACAAGCCAGCAAGCCTTGGTCTGGTTGTAGGACAAACTGCCTTCTACCTGCAACAGCTGTGCTGGTGGTGGTGGTGGTGGTGGCTGTGGCGTTGGTCGTGGTGCCTTTTTTGGTACCCGTCACAAACTCAATCTGGCAGGGAGACAGAAGAGAGTAAGAGCTGTGCAGAGCTGTGAATCCACTTCCTCGTGCCACCCGTGCGCTCCCCGGGACAGGAGCTTGGCACTAAACAAAGGAGGCATTGAAAACCAACTCGGCTCGGACGTCGAGGGGAGAGGCGCTTCAGAGGAGCCCCAAGGGGCTTTTTACCACTCTACACGAGCTTTGCAGGCTTGCACCCCTCCCGGCATCACCAGATTCTGGCACACACATGCCCGGCCCCCCACCCCTGCCGCCCCTCACATGCCCAGAACCGTCTGGCCAGGCCCCTCCCCTCACACCGAGGAGGCGGTGCCCGCCTGCACAGGGAAAGAGCAGCTCTGGTCCCCAGGTGCTGCAGACACGTCCCTGCAATAAGCCTGGGGTTTGGAAGGGAGAGGGAAAGAGAGAGAAGGAGACTCAATACAGGGTTATGAAGGAGACGTCCCACGTATCCCCTGGCACCAGCTCCCACACTCCTGGCCCCTAACTGTCGGGGTTGGGGAGAGGTAGCCAGCTAGCCCAGGCCCTACCACCTGTCTGCCTGGGGCTCAGGGGTATTCTGGGGTTGCAATGCCATGAAGCCACACTACAGGCAGGAGGGGTCAGTGTCTTGAGGCCCAGTGTTTCTCTCTGACTGCGGCAATAGGCACAGTGTTCAGAGGATACTTTTCCTTCATGGCCCAACTGATGTTGCCAAGAGAACCCAAAAAACACTGGGAAGAAGTGGGGCTCAGGACCCTAAATGAGGGGTCACTGGCCATCAGACAGGGTCCTACAGGAAGGCAGCCAGGCTGGAGCAAGGCAGGGCCCTGCACTCTCACAGGGCAGCCAGTCAGGCCAGGGCAGGAAGTCACTTTGAAAGAGACCACCTCACTGGCCAACCAGGACTCTGATCTATGAGGGAGGAGGTGGAAGGAGGTGAGAGAGGGAAGACACAACCATGAGCAGGGCCAAAACAGAAGAGATTCCACACAGGCAGGGATGCTGGCACCTGCTCAGGACAGTGGGCACCATGGAGGCTGTGCTGGGCGGTGAAGAGGGGACCGGGGCAGGGAGGCTACACATCGGGGGGCTTGGCCAGCAGGCTCTCTACAACCCCCACCCGGCATGCCCAGGCACGCCTGTCGCCACCTACTTTGGTTCTCTCCTTCTTGGCCTTTTCCAATTTGTCCATCTCGATCTTCTGGGCCTTGGCTATAGAGACAGGAAGGTGGTGACTGAGGCAGCCCTGCAGCTCCAGGGCCCCATCCTCTCTGCCACTCCCTGTGCCATGTTCAGTGATCTCAAGGCTCTCCAATAACCTGGATGAAGTGCGACTCTAAGCCAGTGTGGCACAGGGGCTCAGGAGGGCCTGCAGGGCCCACCTGGGAGGGTCAGCTACACTGAATACTGGCCAACCAGTGCCCCGTGGGAATGCAGGCCCTTGGGGGACCACCATTGGCCTGGAAACTGGAACTACTGATTTTTAGTTAGAGTACTGGTAATAACTTCAAATTAAAATAAGTGAATCAGGTCTCAGCCAGGATCTGGTCCATGGACAGCTGGCTTCACGACCTCTGATTAAGGTCTGGAGCCTTGGCAGGTTTGCTGGGTCTACCTGACAGATCCTCAAGCCACTGCTGGCCTGGCCCTTCTGCCTACACATCTTCAAGCCTCAGAGAGGCCCTCCCACCCCACTGGCTAGGTCAGGTAATCCCTCCTGCCTTGCACCACCACAAGCCCATCAGTGTGGGGATCACCAGCTCAAGCATCTGTCCTCTTTGCTGCATTCCAGTCCATGAGATGGGGAGGGGTTGTCTCCCTTGAGACTATAAGGGTGCTGCTAGCCACTGGACTCTGCCGGACATGAGGAGCCCCAGAGCCGCGTGCTTCCTGGGTAACTGACAGGTGGCAGGGAGGTTACCTAATGCTTCATAGTAGGAGTCCTCAGACCAGCCATGGGGGTCGAACATATCCTGAAAAAGCAGAGGTCAAAGCTCTGATTAGCAGGGAATGTCAGGTGACGAGTAACTTCCAACACAAGTCCCTTCCCCTTGAATCTTTCCTGGCCTGGAACCCCTTGCCCATGGTGGGTCAGGGTCTCAGCTGCCCTCCATGGCCTCCAGCCCCTAGGCAGATGCCCAACTTGGCAACCCCAGCAACAGACCTGAAGGAGCAGCAATCCCAGACCTTGTGTAACTATTCAGGTCTGTCACTGGCAACTCTAATCAGTTTATTTTAGAAAGGGCATGAGTGAGAGATGGGACTGGCTGTCTTCAGCCACAGTCGCTGTGCCATTGACTGGTTCTGTGGCAACTCTGGTGGAGCTGGCCCTGGGTCCAGTTATACCCTCCACTTCCAAGTCTCTGCTCAATGGACACACCTTCGGGTAGTTGGTGCCGAGTTCATCGATGGCGCAGAACTGAATTAGCTTCTCGTAGATGCTGCAAGGAAAACACAGGTACTGAGCAGACACTAAGCTCACATCCCTGGCCGGCGGGGCTGCAGCCCCCAGGGTTGAAAGTTACTCTGAGACCACTGGGCCCGGCTCAGCTGATTAGAGCAAGTTTTCCAATGAGAGGTCTGAACCTGCCTCTTTCAGCCTCCACCTTTCCATGAAATGGAAACCTTGGCTGGGGGTTGGGATGAGAACAGGTCCGGCTCAAATGGCCACATGTCCCGTCTTAGCTGGATACCTCTGACCTTCAGTCTGCTGGCCGGCTCAAGCCCGCCACACTCAGGCTCATGCAAGGTCCTGCTGTCCCCCACACATGCATCCCTAGTGTCTGTTGTTCATGTACTGCACAGCCTAGCATGCACACTCTGCTCTGTCCCTCAACACCCTCATCTGTGTGCAACACCAACTTTTCAGAGCTGCAACAAGAACCCAGAGACAGAGGTCACCTAGTCCAACGTCCTCATCCTAAATTTGGACACTGGGGCCCTGCAGGGTCATGTTTAAGGAGGCTGAAAATCCAGACAGTCTCCCTGGTTCCAGTCTAACACTGTGGGTTCTTGGTGCACACACAGGTCTCCTTGCTGAATTTGGCCCTGACATGGTAACCCTGGTGGGACTAAGGCAACGTACCATGTCCAACAGGTGGGGCTAAGGCAGCCCGCTGTGCCCAACAGGCACTCAGAGTGGTGAGGAGTCTGGATGAGGCCTGAGCGTGACTCAGCCGAGTCCGTTGTCCCCTACCGCCTCTGACAGTAACGACTCAGACATCTCCAGCAGCACACAGCACACTGACCTGGGATTCCGGAATTCTTTCTTCCTCTGGATAATGTAGTTCATATCCATTCCCTCCTTTATCTTTCGCTCATAAAGCTTCTGGATCTTGTCCTGTGGAAAAGAACAAAAGCACAGGTTCTAGAAGCCTGGCCCCTCCCAACCCTGGTCTGGAGTTGTGGGGGCTGGGAGAGTATGAGCAGGTTGACACTCAAGACCCCCTCCTCCCCAAAGCCTGACTCCAGCCACATTCTTTCTCCACAGGGCCTCTGTCCAGAGCTGTGCCCAAGTCATACACCCAGACCAGCCTGCTTGAGCTGGCCTTTCTTTAGATGACTAAGGAACATGGCAGGGGGGCCATGGAGGAGATAACGCACAAATTGCTGACTGGTTCATCAGCCCTGAATCACAGTCTGTGGTGTTGAGGCTGGCGTGTAGGTACACAATTCTGGCTTTCCGTACAAGGAGAGGCCTCGCACCATGAGTCACAGGGACCTGGGAGGGCTGTGTCCTATAGGTGGGGCCAGAAGAGAGTTTTTGGGACCTGGCTCACAAACAGCCAGTTCTGGCCAGTTTATCTAGGGTTACGTGCTCACCTCCATCAAAACAACTCCTCCAGAAACTGGTCCTGACTTTGATGTTAAGCAGCAGAGCCACATCTGTCAGGGATCCAGGCCTGCCTTCGGCCAGTGACAGGTGTCTTCAGGAAGAAGCCTGCCCACTCAGACACCACACCTCCCAGGAGGTGGCTCAGTGCTGCTTAGGACAGGTGAAGAGGCCCAACTCTGAGGATGCAGCCTCACCCAGGAAGGCAGGCACTGGCTAAGATGAATATCTGCCTGTAAACTAAAATAAAGATTCTCAAAAAAGAAAACATTGTGAGAAAAGGCAGGTGTGGGGCCTGCACAGTGGTTATAACAGGCTAACTCCCAATGTGCCAGCACTGGCAGCTGAATGGGAGCTGGTTTATAAGCTGGCTGCTCCACTTCCCAGCTTATAGCCTGGGAAGGCAGTGGAGGATGGCTCAAATCCTTGGACCCCTATACCCATGTGGGAGACCTGGAAGAAGCTCCTGAATCCCAGCTACTGGCACTGTAGCCATTTGAGGGTTGAACCAGTGTATGGAAGATCTCTCTCTCTCTGCAGTTCTGACTTTCCAAGTAACATTAAATCTTAAAGAAAGAAAAAAAAAGGGGCGGATGAGTGGGTGAGTCTGAGGTGGCACGAGACACCTTTACAGAAAAGTGCAGTGGAGGCCACCTCTACCCAGGCCTCTGAAAGCCTGAGGTGCAAGGAGAGGTCTGCATGCATGCAGCTAATGACAGGCCAGAGAAGCTGAGAGCGCCAGCCTGCTCTTCTTGGAGGGTGACAGCACCTGCCCTGTGTCCTGCACATGACGAGGCTCTGGCTCCTGGGTCATCAGGGCAGCCTGCCATCTCAGGGGAACCATAGGTTTGCCCAAATCTCATGGCTTCTACTACAACAAGGGCCTGAAAAGGTGCAGCCTGCACCTGGGCTGAGCAGCAGGCTGCCTCTGCTGTTCTTACAGGCTGCAGCACGCTGTCTAGCTCAGAGGGTGCCATGTTCCGGGGGGCAGTGGAGGACAGACAACTCAGTGAAAGGAGAGCCTCTGGAAAAGGTGGAGCATCTGAGTGGGCCTGCAACTCTGACCCATCTTCCCCTGGGTGGCCGCAGCCCTCAGCTGCAGGCCCCACTTGGCATCCATCGGACAGGGTGGTGCCAGAGGCCTCCAGGGAGGGCCTGCTCTCCAGGAAGTGACTGCACCAACAAATCTAAACCCTCAGGGGTGGTTGTCTGCGCTGTTGTCAGGCAAGGGATGATGACTCAGCAGTGGAGGACCAGGAGGGCAGGTGCTGCACACACACAAATGCTTGTGGTTCTACCCTTTTACAGCTAGACGATTCCTCGGGGTCTTGGCAAGCTTCTCCTGGGAAGTTCCCACTGACCGGTGGGACAGCAGAGGAAATGCCTGTTATCCCGTGCCTGAGCTTGGGCCTCGGAGGGCCAGCGGGGCATAGGGCCACGAGGCGACAGGCAGGAGCAGTAGTGGGTACATGGTCCCCAAAACGAGAAGGTACCAGATGGCTGTGTCCTCCTCACTTGGTTGTTTCCTACAGAAGCCTGCTTCTCTGCCCTGCCTTGGGCTCTTAAAATTCAAAGAGCGGACACCCAGCCCAGGCCACCGTGTCTCAGGGACGACTGCAGGCCTTGGGCTTACCTGTAAGTGGTTTGAGCATCGGCCAGGGGGTTCGGGCGGGATCTTGATCTCATCAGGTGACATGTTCCGTACCCTTTCAGAAAAGGAAGCTGGGAAAAGAACAGAGGGGACAATCCTGAAAGTGGGGAGTGAGGACAGGGACAGACATAAAAAAAAAAACAGAAAACATTCACGGGGGCCTGGCATGGTAGCCTAGCAGTTAAAGTCCTCGCCCTGCACATACCAGGATCCCATATGGGTGTCAGTTCTAATCCTGGCGGTTCTGCTTCCCATCCAGCTCCCTGCTTGTGGCCTGGGAAAGCAATGGAGGATGAACCAAACACTTGGGACCCTACATCCATGTGGGAGACCCTGAAGAGGTTCCTGGCTTCGGATTGGCACAGCTCTGGCGATTGCGGCCGCTTGGGGAGTGAATAAATGGATGGAAGATCTTCCTCTCTGTCTCTCTTACTCTCTGTATATCTGACTTTCCAATAAAAATAAAGTAAATCTTAAAACAAACAAACAAGCAAAAAATACATGTAAGATACTTTCTGGGAAGAATAAAAGCTGCACAAGCAGTACAATGGGTTCAGGTGTGGCCTCTCCTCTAGGGTCACCTAGAGCCAGGGTCAAATGGCCAAGCAAGCCACGGGCGACTTGGGGATCAGGCATTTGGGTGCAGGGTGAGTACCACAAGCTATCCAGTCCCAGGGGCTAGCCTTCAGGGAAGGAACACTGTCCACCCTCCCGTAGGTGCCCACAATGCACTGGGGTGGGGCTGCAAGAGCTGCCTCATGCCCCCTTTGTGTTCTTTTTAGGCTGGCCTGTCTACTCAGAGCTCAGAGAACCCTAGTCTGAGTCCCAAAGCATCTAAAATGGCCTTGTTCATAAATGAGAAGTTAATCATTCACCCATTGGTTACTACTTCAGGGTCTTAAAATAAAACAAAACAACAACAACAACAAAAAAACCTGATCAAGCCCTGCCTTGGCCCACCTCATTCTTGGGAACAATAGCCTGATTCTGATGTGAAGAATCCAAACTCCCAGGAAGAACTTCTGCAGGGACTTGCCACTGCCCAGCGGGCCTCACACTCCCCACTCTCTTATCCACAGCCCCCGGCCACCCTGGCGACTGCACAACCCTGCTGCAGATCACTCAGACAATGCACCACTTGTTGCAAGACTCTGTGCTCTTGAAAACATTCTCTCATGAAAGGGACCTTACAATGAGCCACCAGCAGGCAGGGCTGGGTGGGAAAGAATGAGCAACCACCACTGATGACAACAAGGACCTCCTGGGAGCCTACTGTGTGCAGATGCACACTGACCCAGCAGCCCTGGGACTGCCAGGGCTGGCCTAGCACAGCCTTCCCCACCTCCTGCTCCCGTCCTTAGCCTGGGTTAATGTTTTCTTAGCAGATAAGGGACATTGATCTCTCCTGTAGAGAACACAGTGCTGAAGAGTGCTGGGGCAAGATCTGCCAGATCAGCTGCTGTGGTCCCAGCCGGCACACACAGGAAACACACTGAGGCCAGGGGTCAAGTGCAGCGCAGTCACAGCCCTGTATGTAGGATGCACTGCTGTCACTGGATTCTCCCTGGATGTGTCCCAACTACAGAGCACTGACCCACCATTTCAGGGAGGCGGGCGGCAAGAAGGCAGAGACCAGGTGACAGGTCCTGTGGCGGAGGCCACATGCCAGTGCAGCCAAGGCTAGTTCCACCAGGGGACTGAGGGCTGCTGTGCCTGGCACTGTACTTCCGTCTCTCGACTCCTCCAGCACCTGGCCCCCATCCTCTTCCCAGTCAGTCTTGGGACCCCCTGGGACAGGGGAAGCTTTAGGCCTGAGCTCCAGTAGGCTGCAGAGGCCGGCTGAGCAGTGTCAGCAAGAGAGTCGGTCCTTTCACTTCATGAGCACGAGCAACCAGCCCAGAGCTCTTCTTGTTTTAACTACTGGGCACTGGGCACATGAGAATGGGATGTGAGAATGGACATGTGCATGAAACATGAGTGCCCTTTGACATCTGCCAGGAAGGTTTTTAGGAAAAACAGGGTGGGACAGTGTTGTCACAGCAACCAGCCACATTCCTGGGGTTCTGATAGTAAACAGGAGGGTGGGGAGGAAGAAACCTCTCTTGAACTGGCTAGGAACAGAATTCCTAAGCAGCGACTGGCCAACAAAGGGACACATGCAGGAAAGCTAAGTGAGTGCTCACACAGGAGCAGGCCTTCAGCGCTCTCTCCCCCAGATCCCAGTCATCAGCCCACGGATCCAGCCCCAGGCGCTCAGATCCTAAAGCCACTTCCACAGGAGGACATACGCGGAGGCAAAAATACTGAGTCCAGCTGCTGCCTGTTTTGGGGGCGGTCCTAGAGGAGAAGTCTGCTGCCAGCAGGAGTCTACCTGCGCATATCCAAATCAGATACACCCAGTGTCCAGAGGCAGCGGAGCAGGAGCAGCCATTAGGGATTTATGGGTGGCACACAGCGAGCAGAGGGAGCAGGCGGGGTTTCAGGAAGCCTCGAGGATGCTGTGAGATTGTCTTCAGCTCAGAGGGTGACATGAAAGCCACTGCCCGGCCCCACCCAAGCCACTGTCTCAGTGCCCTGGGGGCAGGGACAGGGCAGAGTACGTGCTCAGCTCCGTGGGCACTGAGCACTGGGTGCAGACACCTAAGAGCTGACTCGCCCTGGGAAAACCAGGGCGTCCACACATACGCAACACTTTCCACACCAGGTAAATGCTGCTTGTGGTCTAGGAAAACAGCATAAGATACCTCAAGTGCTTGGGACCCTGCATCATGTGCAATACCGGAAAGAAGTTCCTGGCTTCCGCTTTCAGAGTGGCTTAATTTCGGCCATTGTGGCCATTTAGGGAGCGAAACAGCAGATGGAAGATCTTTCTGTCTCTCCTCTCTGGAAATCTGCCTTTCCAATAAAAATAAATCTAAAACAAATAAACAAAAAAACCCACATCTATACCCTTCCTGAGTGAAAACGAACTATTATTCAGGACCAAAAAGCACAATAGGTATGTTTAACAATAAGAACACATCTCAAAAGCATTATGGCATTATGCTAAGTGAAAGAGGTCCCTAAGAAACTCCCGGCATTTGTACGGCGGTTTCCTAGGCCCTGGGAAGACATCAGGCAGTGTCTGGACGGTCTGGCTGTCACAGCTAGGAAGGAAGAGCGGCCTTCCAGCACTACTGAGTGCAAGAAGATGGGGACGGGCTCCCTAGCCTGCAGTGCCCAGACAGTCCCCCTGCCACCTGGCAGATACCCCAACAGTGCCAAGGTTCAAAGGTCTTGATTGACATGGAATTCCTTCAGCAGGCAAAGCCATGTGAAGACGGCCTGAGGCAGAGAGGACACTATAGGACGTGGTGCAAGGGAACATTCTGGAGGAATCCAGGTGTTACGTATCATGACTGTAGGGGGTGGCACAGTGTGTGTGCTCCACAACCATTCAAACTATTAAAATCTGTCACAATGATGGTGCACTGTGAAAAATGGTGTATCTGGCCTTACTGGAGCAGAATGACTGTTCAGAGCAGTGTGGAGAAGGTGGTTGCCAAGCTGGCTGTGGCAGAAGCCGGGAGCCGAGCCGGCCACTACCTGTACACATGCCAGCACTCTGCCAACACCACGTGGTAGAGCTGTTCTCCAACTCCCAGCCCTGCTGTTTCTCAGCATGACTCCACTTGAGAGTGTGGATGCTTGTGCTCAAGGCTGGAGGGACATCCTGGCTCTTCCAGCCTTGAAGGAGCCAAACGCCAGCCCCTGGGAACCCTCAGTAACCCAGCCGAACCCTGCTCAGGGGCTGGACCGCTTAGAGACTCACATTTCAGCCCATGCCTTCCTCAGAACACAGCAACGAAGCAATTTCTAGCTCTTTCTGTTAGGGAAGGACAGATGGGCTCCTGTCTCCCACCCCTGGCAGGAGGACCCCTGGAGGGCACATCTGCAGGTCCAGGCCCTGGCCTCTGAACTCAGGATGGTAGAGTGGCTGGGTTGCAAACACCCAAGACTGGGTTCTGAGGCCAGAGATACGGCACAGGAGCCTGCTCTGGGGAGAAGAGGGGAACGGGCAGAACACACTGGGGATGGTTGAGAGAAAGGGATTTGACCAACCCTGCTGTAAGGTATGGACCCAGACAAAGGCCCCCGCAGACTGCAGGAGGTGAGGGGCTTTCTAGAAGGGTTAAGAGGATGGAGTTGGCACAGGACTTGGATGACGGGTGCTGTTTTCTAGAAACAGCTTGCTTCTTGCTAGGCACAAAGGGCCCCAGAAGCCAAGGCTATGAGGCATGAGCCTGCCTAGGCAGAGCACAGTGCCAGCACAGCCCACATGACGACTCCCTGACTACCAGAATATGCCAAGGGTTGGGGGGCGACTCCAACACAGGCTAGGACACAAGGGGAAGCAGAGGTCAAGAGGAGGTCCCAACTAAGCGGAGCCCTGATTTCCCTCTTGACGAGGCTGGCAACTGAATGAAACACAACACAACACAACACAACACAACACAACACAACACAACACAACACAACACAACACAACACACTATGAATGCGATTTTCAAAGAAGAATTGTTCCCTGGCAGTCTCACCCAGCGACTAAGAAAGGCCAAAGGGCCTGAGAGGGCATATGAAGGGACATGAAGTCCCATGGAGCGGTATGCCTGGCCTCGGGCCCCTCTGGGTACTTACCAACTAGTTCCTGGGGGTCTCGCTTTTCTACTTCCGCGTTATCCTACAAAAGAGAAGTGGAAACACCTGGCGGTCAGAGCTGGGTTCTGGAGCCATGGCTGCTCTCTTTGCTGAGACACTCAGGAGCACTGAGGAAGGAGAAAGGGTAAAGGATGGCCAGCAACATGTGGGGCCTCTGGCAGCTCCCCCAGTCCCACAGCAGCAGGAGTGCTCATGCCTGCAGCAGGGACCAGCACCCAGCAACGTGAGAACACACACCAGCGAGCCAAGCCTGCTCTCTGCACATGCTCACCTGGGTCTGAGGAAGCTTTTTGAAACACAGTGCAGTGCCCAGGCACCACCGCCTCAACTGCACACACAGGGGAAGCAAGGCAGATCCATGTCTAATACACAACTAAGAAACACAAAATATTAGCTGCTCCTCCAAGTTTTCTTGGTATTAACTTAAGCAAAAAAGGAAAACTTGAGCATAAGGAGAAAGGGGCAGCTTGTAGAATCCCAGAGCCAGCATGTGGCACACCTCAGACCAAGCGAGGCCTGGGGAAGGTCCGGGTTGGCTGCTCCCTAGCTCCCAGCTCTTTCCACTGCCTTACACTCTCCGTAAAGAGAAACTTTCTCTGACCCTTCATGCACACACTGTCCTACAACAATCGCTTCCACACACCCTCCAGAAATCTGAAGCTAAGACTTCGCAACACACAGCTTCTGTATTTCACTGCTCCAAAGCAAACACTTCATCGAACCCAAATCAGTGTGGAGGGTCACAATCTAGACCTGCATCCCAGGCTCTGGCACTGCAGGGAGGGAGGCCTGCCTTTGCCACCATGTCCTAGGAATTACCCGGCAAGCAGAGCTGCTCTTGTCATTGCTCCACTGCCCACATCCAGTTAGACCGTGCGCACCAGGCACACTGAGGACTACAGGTCAAACAATGGGTGTCCCAGCCAGCTGCCAGTTCTCATTCTTTCCCTGTGGTTAGAGAAGGACAAGAGAAGAGACGGCCAATTCTACAGCAAGCCCAGCCCTGGAATGCAGCCTCCACTTGGAAGCAAAGCTGTGAGGAAGGCCCACTGTAGACCAGTGGCTCTCAGGCCCCAAAAGACCTTCCTGATTCCAAAGCAGCCCAAACCCTCGTCTCCTGAATGCTGCAGCTATTCCTTTAACCTGGAGGGAACAATGTCCACACCAGGCTGCCAAGCAATTCATCTCTTCTAGCCACTGCTCCCTGTCAAGCAGATGGACAGAGAGGAGGCAGGGAAAAGAAGGGAGGAGGCCTGGATGACTGCCAATGAAAGTCAAGGCTGGAGTCATCAATCAATTGCTCTAAAGAGAGCACCAGTCTCTTGGAGGGCCCACAACAACCTCTTTGTAGCAGTGACTGTGAAGAAATAAGCATCAAAGAATGCGTCGGTCACACAATATGGGGCTGTAAATTTCCCGAAATCTTTCTGGGCGCCAACTGTGGGAAAGCACCCCGGCAGCTGGCTGCTCAGGGCTGGGGTTGGGGGCTGGTAGGCACTCCTCTTCTCCAAGGTCCTGTACTGCACCAGCATCTTTCATGGGCAGCAAGGCAGGGTTCAGAAGACTCAGGCACACTGAACTCCCAATGTGCCATGCAACATTTTTCACAGTATCGGTGCTCGTTATTTCCATGGCTGCTTGGGTACAAGGGCCCAGGAGTCTCCCTGTGGCTTCTGGGCTGTTGCTGGCCCGGGGAGAGCAGGCACAGGGTGTGGGCTGTGAGTGTTCCCCTGAGTTTCACAAGAGCCTGGCTAGCCTGGCTCAGGTTGTTTGGTCATGTCTCTAGAAGAGAGGATGGGGGCAAAATCAGGAAGGACTCTGTCTTCTTTTAGTCCTTCCCTTCTTCCTTTACATTAATTTTTCAAAAAATTATTTATCTGAAAGTCAGAGAGAGAAAGGTCCTTCATCTGCTGGTTCACTCCCTAGATTGCCACAACAGCTACAGCTGATCTTGTCTGAAGCAAGGGGCCAGGAGCTTCTTCCAGGTCTCCCACATGGGTGCAGGGGCCCAAGCGTTTGAGTCATCTTCTGCTGTTTATCAGGCCATTAACATGGAGCTGGATTGCAAGTTGAGCAGCCAGGAATTGAACCATCACTTCATAGGATCCCAGCATTGCACATGACAATTTTACCTGCTATGCCACAAAGTCCCACAAATTAATTTTTATACACTAAAGCAAACAAGCAGGGCAGTGTTTGGCAGAGCAGTTAAGACTAGTCGGAATGGGGCCTGGTGGCATGGCCTAGCGGCTAAAGTCCTCGCCTTGAATGCGCCGGTTCTAATCCTGGCAGCTCCACTTCCCATCCAGCTCCCTGCTTGTGCCCTGGGAAAGCAGTCAAGGACGGCCAAAAGCTTTGAGACCCTGCACTCGTGTGGGAGACCTGGAAGAAGTTCCTGGATCCTGGCTTTGGATCGGCATAGCATTGGCCATTGCGCTCAATTGGGGAGTGAATCATCGGACGGAAGATCTTCGTCTCTGTCTCTCCTCCTCTCTGTATATCTGACTTTCCAAAAAATAAATAAATCTTACAAAAAAAAAAAGACTAGTCAGAAAGCCCATATCACATGTTAGAATGCCTGGTTTCTGTGCCAGCTCCCTTCCTGGTTCTAGTTGCTTGCTAATGTGCCCCTTGGGAGGCAGCAGGTGAGAGCTCAAGTAGCTGGCCCTTGCCACCCAGACGGGAGGTCTAGACTGGGTTCAGGTTCCTGGTTTAGGCTTGACCTAGCTCAGGATGCCACATGTATTTGAGGGGCAAACTGGGGGATGGAAGATCTCTTTTAGTCAGGCTCTCTTTTCAAATAAGTAAAAATAAATTGAAGTAAAAATTTAAAAAAGAAACAAACTGGCAAGTTTTCAATTTATCAACAAGTCTAGTCTTTGCTTTTCTATCTTCTCAGTGCAAAAATAGGAAGAAAGGGCCCGGCGCGGTGGCGCAGTGGTTAAGGTCCTTGCCTTGCACGCCCGGGATCCCATATGGGCGCAGGTTCTATCCCGGCAGCCCCGCTTCCCTTCCAGCTCCCTGCCTGTGGCCCAGGAAAGCAGTCGAGGATGGCCCAAAGCTTTGGGACCCTGCACCCGCGTGGGAGACCTGGAAGAGGCTGCTGGCTTCGGACCGTCATAGCATCAGCCGTTGCGCTCACTTGGGGAGTGAATCATCGGACGGAAGATCTTCCTCTCTGTCTCTCCTCTCTGTATATCTGCCTTTTCAATAAAAAAATAATAAAAATAAATCTTAAAAAAAATTAGGAAGAAAAAGAATGGTGGGTGAGTCCAGAGACCTGAACCTTGGAACCTGGCCCCCAGAATCCCAACTCCACAGGGGAAGTGTTTATCAGTGGGTTATGGCCCTACCTGTAGAGAATCCCTAAGCCAAAAACATCACAGAAAAGACCAGCTGTGAGCCTCCGTGAGGAGCCAGCACCCCTCCATGAAGGTCCCCATGGTGTCACAGGCACCAGTGGGCCTGGAAGACTGTGGGGGCTCTGTGCCTCCTGCTGGCCACGTCTTATGTCCAAGAATGGGATTCACTTACCCCGGGACCAATATGCGGAACTGTGAGCTTGCAGTGCCCTGGGCATCGTGTCACAGCCCTGAGCTGCTCCTACAGCTCACGTGGAACCTAAGGTGCCTGCTCGACCAAAGCAGCTGAATGGCACCCCATGCACTGAGCCCAGCAGCTGAGGGCCAGGGCCATAGCACTGCCTGCTCCTGAAATGCAGATGGGTCCCAGGCATCACCAAGCTGAGGAAAGCTCAGAGGGGAGACAATGGAGGATGGTGACCGACACCCCCAAAGATGTTTTTTATTAGAATCATTTCACCTCAAATCTCCTGTGAAACAAGCTTTCATCCAAAATCACTCTCTATTCCAACAGCAATGACAACATCACTCCAAATGTCTTCTGCCAGCAACAGGAGAGCAGGATGGGGAAGGGCCAAGGGACCCAGGGGGTCCTCCTGCCAGTCAGGCCACAGACACCAGGAATTCAGCTGGAAAATGAATCCAGCACCTGTTGTCATTATCATGGAAGCCAGCAAAGCCTCCAAAGTGACTGTGACAGAAGCAGACCTGGGGCCTGCCTAGCACGGTGCCTGCACTGAGGCAGTGAGGGGCGGGGCAGGTCTGAGGACATGAACTGAAAGCAACAGGAAGTGCTCTTTGCTGTCCTGAAGCTGAGCTTTGACATGCCCAGGGAAACCACTCTCGACTTTTTCAAATCCATTCTCTGGCTTCCAGATGAAGACTCGCACACCTGGTGTAGAGATCAAGTCTGCAGAGAAGTCTGCCCCAAGTACAGCCTGCAGACTGAACACCGCCTCCCTCCCTCCACGCCCACCTGCCACCCAGGGCTCACCTAGCTCACCTGGGAGATAGAAGTAAAAAACTGACAAGTTTTGCAAGTCAAGACCAGGAAATCTTAGATTTCATGCAAAGTCCAATTAAGACCCAAGAGAAAAGGAGCGGGGATAAAATCCATAGTTTTCCTAAACAAGCCAAGTGGGAAGACAGAGCAGCAAGCACTGACAGGCTGAGCTGGCCAAGGACGCCCCTCCTGCCCGTTTATCCCCCTGTCTGGCCCTCACTTGAGACTAAAGTCCCAACAGCCAGGGCACCAGGGTGGCATGCAGTGGCATGGCAGGTCAGCAGGAAGAACAAATGTTGGCACATGGCTCCCCTACCACAGTGCCGCTGCCAATGAGACTGATGCAAGCAAAAGAAGGGAGGGAAAACAATCTGGTGCCACGAAACTGGTGCCACGGGAGTCAGGAGGACTTGACTCAGCAAGGAACAGAGGAACAGGTCCCATCAGACAGACAGGAGGTGATTCAACAACAGCGCTGTCTCGATCCCTTCAGGAAACAGTCCCACCTAGCCAGCACAAAGTGCCAGTGAGGCAGCACTGGCATCTGGATTTGGCCAGATCTCCCTGTTCGAGCCTCTGCCCAGCTCTGGGAGCGTGGGGATTTACAGAGCAGGCCAGAGCAAGCAGGCTGCAGGTGGGGCGTTTTTTGGGTGGACA